AGCTTACAAGAACCCACAATCAATTTACACCGATGTAGCATGTAGTTCGGACCAGATGCGGCATAATGCGGCGTAATGCTTTAGTCAATAAAAATAGTTTTATTTTTTATTTCATTACAATGATTCAGTCTTGAATATCTCTTTTTCTTTACATGATTCAGTCATCTTTCAATAGGTCTTGCTAAGTTTTAGAAATCCGATAAAGTATTTCATAAGTACTCTTAATGCCGATATCAAAATTTTAGTCGTAAGTGCCATATTTATTGAAAAATTAATTACTTTATTTGAGCAAACAAACTTTAACAGCACTTGTACAGAAATAAAGATTCATTCATTCCTTTAAAAACCATAAAACCACTCAAGAGTCACTCCCGCTGATGTAGAGTTATAAATAACGTTTTTTGTAAACAATACCCAATGCACCATAATATGTATCGAGTGACAGAGGCGCCGCGAGGTGCGCAGCGGTTATGTTACATTTCCAATAACCAATAACATTATTTCTTCAAACGGTAACATATTTCCTTTAACACAAACAATAGCTACGAAATAATAAAAATTAAAATAAATATATCTCTTTCTGAAATAAAAAAAATACTATTTATGTATATTTTTAAAGAACCCACTTCTTATGCATTATACAAAAATATGCCACAATTAAAGTTCGATTCTGCACTTTTTTGTGCATCATGTACTAGTTCATTAAAACATTTTTTATGCGTGGTAGAGCCATGCTGCAGTTATATTAGTAGTATAGTTGTAGCACGAATAGGCCGGCTCGACCGGGGAAGGACCACGCTCTCACAGAATACCAGCGTGAAATAATAGCTTAATGCTTCTGTGTTTCGTATGGTGAGTGTAGAGAACCGGAGAGCCTTTTTGCTGGAAACGAGGCGTTCCATCTTAGTCCTCACGGGTGACACGCATTTTTGCATTTTGATTTGTAATCGAGGATAGATGTAGATGTCTATGGGCCGCAGAAACCACCACAGGTGGACTGCGTGCTCGTTTGTCACCCTATCCTATAGAAAAAAAACATACAAAATAAAGAGGTGTATTCATTTCAACGATGAGAGCCGTGGTTGCTCGGAAGAGCCGTGGTAGCTCAGATGGTTAGCTCTCGCTGTAAATTTCATAGTACGCTAGCAAGCCGGGTTCGATCCCCGCTAGCAATAATGAAATTGTTAATTGCAATTTTAAGTGCTGATCTACCACGTGCTCGGCGGTGAAGAAAGACATTGTGAGGAAACCTACACGTCTGTGAAATAAGAAAAAAAATATTTCGAAGACATGTGAAGTTCGCCAACACGCATTGGGGCAGCGCGACGGAAACTTCTTTGCCTTTGCCCAGCTGTGGGGCGTAAAAAGGCTGTAACTTAACTAACTTAAGTATTCATTTCGACGTTAAATTTCAGAGTACGCTAGCACACCGGGTTTGATCCCCGCCGGCATCAATGAAATTATTAATTACAATTTTAAGTGCTGATTTACCTTTGCTCGGCGGTGAAGAAAAACATCATGAGGAAGTCTGACTGTCTGAGAAATAAAAAAAAATATTTCCAAGGCATGTGCAGTTCGCCAACACGCATATGGGCAGCGCGGTGGATACTTCTTTGCCGTAAAACTCTTTCAGAAGTGAGGGAAGGCCCAGCAGTGGGACGGAAATCGGCTGTGTAACTTAACTAACTTAACAATTTCGACGATGATAGTCTGAAATAATTAGCTGAACAAATTATAGCTAGGCAACAATAAAAACTAAATGGATGGATGGACATAAGTATAAAATTGAATAAATATATAACATAGGTACTTATTTCTTTAAAAGGCTCCTGGTACTTGTTGGATTTACTGTATCTACAGTACAATTCATTTACGAATGGTACTGTAGGTAGCAGCAATCTTGCTATAGGTTGAAACATAACGCAACGTTACACGATTTGCAAAGTAAATACAGATAAAATGTACATTAAAAAAAAACAGTATAAGAAATATGTGTCTGAGATGACCTTAAAAACCACAACCTGTTCATATTAAATTAAAAAAAATAAAAATTTTAAATATTAAATATTAAAAAATATTAAAATAAAAATATTAAAAAGCATATTATGTAAATACTATCTAACTTTCTGTTTTAATAAATTGTTTAAAAAATTCCGAAGTCTTGTGTTAACATACATGACATATCCAAATGCCACATTCAATTTTTTATAAATCATCGAGTAATCGTGGAGTCAACCAAGCTCCATTTCTCTGCTCGAGGGCGCTAGATTCTTTACCATTCTAACCATTCAACCGAATTTGAACTTGATGCAGTATGGCAAACTTTAGTTCCTTTTTTCGCCACCCGCAAAACAGAGAACTAGAATTCACTTCTAATGACGTCTCAAAAATGGACACTATTGCACCTATTGCGTATATACATTAAAATTTTGAAAATATTGCACTTTATCCACATTTTGATGTACTAAAACTGTGAACGATGAACAACACTAAAATTTTACGTACATTTCAAGTCAACTTTCCTCAACCAGCATGTTAGTTTTAAGATAGCAGTTTGCTTCATATATATTTAAAAACGATTTTACACGTACTTAATAAGATAAAACAAAAAATGAAATTACAAATAAGAAGATTACTTACCCAGGCATTGTTTTAACACAATTCACCACACAATAAATATAAATTAATACAAAATAATTACAAACAACTTCGTTGTTAGCGCGCGTCAATCACACTAATGGCTGACTCAAGGAACGGACGACATTTAAGAATGATTTAAATAAAATATACTACTAAAGTGTATAAGCTGTGGGGTTTTTATGCTAGCCTTTTTTTATCCTATACACATTGACATATGGTAGAATGAGTTAGAAATAGCGCATAATGCTTTGTTTTTTCATTAAAAGAGCGGGTAAAAAATGTCTAACACTTGGACGCCCGCAGTCAACGGAGATATTTTCATGTCCAAGTCTTGGACATCCGCAGTTGAGAGGATAATGATTGTTCCGGAGGCCATCTAGGAGTTAAACGAACTCTACTGAAGATCCGAGAACGGTTTTATTGGGTCCACTGTCGAAACAATGTCGAGGACTGGTGTCGCAAATGTACAAGTTGTGCGGCTGTAAAGGGACCTCAGACTCGTAGTAGAGGTGCAATGAAGTTGTACAATGTTGGTGCACCATGGGAGAGAATAGCCATTGACGTGGCGGGGCCGTTTCCGGGGAGTGAAAGCGGTAACAAGTATTTCATGGTTGTGATGGATTACTTCACAAAGTGGCCAGAAGTTTTCGCCATTCCAAATCAAGAAGCTTCAACAGTTGCGGATAAACTAGTTCATGAAATCTTCTGTCGTTTTGGAGTACCTTTAGGGATTCACAGCGATCAAGGAAGGAATTTTGAGTCTCAAATATTCCAGGAAACTTGCCGAGTTATGGGTACTCATAAAACAAGAACGACTTCTTATCACCCGCAATCTGATGGAATGGTGGAACGATTTAATCAGACATTGGAGAGGTACCTAGCAAAAGTTGTAGACAATCGGCAACGAGATTGGGACAAGCACATACAACCGTTTTTGTTGTCATATCGAAGTTCTGTTCACGAAAGTACAGCAGTGACACCAGCTTTCGCAAACTTTGGAAGAGAATTACGGCTGCCTGCAGACCTGATCACCGGGATACCACCTGATACCCCACGCAGTATAACCGATTATGCAAATGACTTGCGGAACAAAATGAATTACATTTATGAGCACGTCAGACAATCGGGCCAGCAAATGTCTGAGAAAGTGAAAATCCGGTACGACCGCAAAATGAACAATAAAGGGTTCAACGAAGGTTCATTAGTGTGGTTGCACAATCCAGTCCGCAGCAAAGGGAAATCTCCTAAGCTTCAAGCTAAATGGGACGGCCCGTATCGGATTGTAACCAGGATCACCGATGTGACCTACCGGATACAGAAAGGCGCAAGAGGGACTCCTAAGATCGTCCATGTGGATCGCTTGGCGCGTTATTATGGGACCGATAATGCTCGGGACGAGCATGTCTTAGGAGGGGGCAGTGTTGCGTGAATAAGTCAACTAGCGCCATCTAGTGTCAGGAACGAGAGCGAGGGGAGCTTTGCAGAAAATGACATCACAAATTTCTCAACCGACAGCGCCATTCGAAGAACTAAGTTTCTAGAAAATCTATACTCGACCACTCGTCGCTTTGCGCGCACTTACTTGAATATTCCGGATGCTTCATTGCTAATTTATATAAATAGGAGCTGCAAGATGCGATCGAGGTAGTATTGAATTGGCGATACGAGCGAAGCTTCGGAGTGGAATTAAGTGAATTAGTGTGTTTAATTATTAGTGTTTTAAGTTTTAATTTGTTTAAAGTAAATTAATGTGTTAATTTAGGTAATTTTATCGGCAATTTTTATTGTCACGAACCTCAAGCTCGTAACACTACCATAGATAAATAAATATGTAGCAAGCTACTAAGCTACTAACATACCGTGTTCATGATTGAACTTACAAGTTATAATACGATAAACATTTGCATGCTACGCAGCGTGACCACTTTTAAATGAGGGAATCTACCAAAGACGCTGCTAAAATCCACTGAAATCTACTAGATCGCATTTTAAAATCTACAAATTTTTAGAGTAATGTTTTGATTCGAAATAAAACACATTTGTTAAAGAACCCTACATGTAATCAATTATTAATAATTAATATTTTTGTATTAATTGTCAATGTCATCGAATTTTTTAACATTTTATATAATTGTTTCTCATTTTTAATTGTTTCCAACATTAAAGTACCAGGTTCAAATTTTGTACAATTACCCGATTCCTTTAATCCCCTCCTTAGCGTGTAAAATTGTACGAACGTTTAGATTACTAAATCTGTTACGATCTTCTGTTTTTATTCTATTTATAGCAGAGAAAATGCGTTCACATTTGTCGTTTGATATGTGTAAACAAAGCATTTGCTTTACAAATTTACTGATATTTCAGAATTGAGCTTTATTGTCAGCATGACATAATTTACTTACTGACGCCCAAAAATCTTCAAAATGAGTAACAGCCTCTCTGCTACTAGTACTGCATAATAAGTTAGCGACTTCAGTGTTAAGTTTAAGTTCCCTGAATTCATTGTCGATTAGTTGAATATCATTTTCGGACACAATGTTTGGAAATTTTGAGGTAATATTAAACAAACTCGTAAATTCAGCATGTACAGCAGTTTGGGGATCTAAGAAGCACATCATTTCAAAAATATCGTCATCAAATGGTAGTCTTGTTTTTAACTGCACACGCAAAGATCTTAAGAATTCTTGACACCTTTTAAAAATATCTTGAAGCTGTTGCGGGGGTATTTGATTGCGATGTAATTCTAAATGCTTGGCAAAATTAACATCCAAATATAAATTTTTTAAGGTTTAATAACTTACGGAAGAATTGGGGTCAATATTCTTCATTACTTTCACGTCCAGGGGGTAATACATGCTGCCTCCAGCACCCTTGCAGTGCTACCACGATGTCTCGAGACCACTTCCGAGTCATCGTCCTCCTCGGGGGTTACGTAAAATCGTTTACACGAAGCCAGTACACAAGCCAGAATAGTAAAAACTACTGTGAGGGGTGTTACTAGCTCAGAAATAGAGCCCCATCCTTGGTTTAGACAGTTACTTACTAGCCCAGAAATAAAGCTAATTCTGTATAATGTGAAACCAGAGTAACTAGCTTTCTAACTTACAGGCACAAGTTGCTATTCGTGCGTTACGTATAAAAACCATATTCGAATAATTATTTAACCAATAAAACAGGAGCAACAATCCGCTGGCGGTTGAATTCTCGCCAAAATCCACTTGCCTCGCTAATCGTTAGATAAAATATAATTTTGCATATTATAAATAAATAAAAATACATAAAGGTATTAAAAGTTGATTGTTTTAACATCACTAAGAAAAAATGGGTTTATTATTTCAATTTGACACGATTTTTTTGTAGGCTTGCCATCTCATCTCTTTTCTATACTCAAAGGAGGGAATCTATCAAAGACACTGCTAAAATCTACTGAAATCTACTAGGTCGCATTTTAAAATCTACTAATTTTTAGAGTAATGTTTTGATTCGAAATGAAACACATTTGTTACTGAAACCTACATGTAATCAATTATTTATAATTAATATTTTAATATTAATTGTCAATGTCATCGAATTTTTTAACATTTTCATATAATTATTTTTCATTATTCATTGTTTCCAACATTGAAGTACCAGGTTCACCAAACATAACATTTGTTGCACTCACAAGAACTGCACACAAAGATCTTAAGAATTCTTGACACCTTTTAAAAATATCTTGAAGCTATTGCGGGGGCATTTGATTGCGATGTAATTCTAAATGTTTGGCAAAATTAACACCCAAATACAAATGGTTTAAGGGTAAATAATTTACGGAAGAATTGGGGTCAATATTCTTCATTGATGTGGTTTTTACATATTGGCTCTTCGTATAACAGCTCAAAATGGAGACAAACATGGCTCGCATTGTGCATTTGATTGTGATGTAATTCCAAATGTTTGGCAAAATTAACACTTGATATTAGTCTATATTCTACAACGCTAATTTCCCTTAGAACCTTAAATTACAGTACGACGACGCTCGTGATCTAGACGACTTTTTAAAGTACCTAGCACATATTATGTATGTTATTATTAATGTTTTTAATGTATTTTTAATTATATTGTATTAAAATTTAAGCATGGTTCATGATATTTTTTTACTTTGAATTTGTTATGTAACTAAATTAAAATGAGAGAGTATCAAAAAAGAAATAACTAACTAGAAACCACTAGGATCAATAACATTCAATTTAATTTTAATATATTGTCAATACAATGTATTGTCATATCAATATCTAAAATCTAAAGGGGGTGTTCGACTTTCGCCGCATATTGGGAGGGCCACGGGAACGTATTCGCAAACATCCGAGGCACCACCGGAAGGCCTGCCTTCTTCCACGGCCTCAACTCCACCTGCGCCAGGAAAAATTAAAGCATTATCATGTAAAGAACGTAAAGATATTGTGAGCCTCTCTGTTGAGCGAACTGTAGAAATGGCATGTGTTGAGTTTGAGCACCTCATTGTTGTAAGCGTTTACAGACTCCCATGTTCTTTATATGATACTTTCGAAAAAAATCATGGAGGAAGTTTTCGCTAAGCTTGATAAACAGTATAAATCTGTTGTAATATGTGGAGACTTTAATATCAATCTCCTAGAAGCTTCCTCCACCAATATTAAATTTAGATCATTGTTTAAATCTCATGGTCTTATTAATTTATTTTTGGATCCAACACGTATTGCTTAATCTAGTGCAACATGTATAGATAACATTCACTAAATGTATAATTCAAAAATTGAGCTCTGATCACTGTAGACAATTAGTTTCATTACCTTATGTTTACAAAATGCAAATAGATAAAAAAGTAGTGTTTGATCCAGTAAATGCACATCGCTTGGAGAAGTTTAGAAGTAACATAGTAAAAAACTTCCATTACTTTCATACCAAAATAATCCAAATTTTTTGTATGGAACATTATTTAAGCTTATTGGCAATGAACTTTTACTTTTACTACACCCAAATACAAATTGTTTAAGGGTAAATAATTTACGGAAGAATTGGGGTCAATATTCTTCATTACTTTCACGTCCAGGGGGTAATACATGCTGCCCCCAGCACCCTTGCAGTGCTACCACGATGTCTCGTTACCACTTCCGAGTCATCGTCCTCCTCGGGGGTTACGTAAAATCGTTTACACGAAGCCAGTACACAAGCCAGAATAGTAAAAACTACTGTGAGGTGTGTTACTAGCTCGGAAATAGAGTCCCATCCTTGGTTTAGACAGTTACTTACTAGCCCAGAAATAAAGCTAATTCTGTATAATGTGAAACCAGAGTAACTAGCTTGCTAACTTACAGGCACAAGTTGCTTTTCGTGCGTTGCGTATAAAAACCATATTCGAATAATTATTTAACCGATAAAACAGGAGCAACAATCCGCTGGCGGTTGAATTCTCGCCAAAATCCACTTGCCTCGCTAATCGTTAGAGGAAATATAATTTTGCATATTATAAATAAATAAAAATACATAATGGTATAAACTGTTGATTGTTTTCACATCACTAAAAAAATGGGTTTATTATTTCAATTTGACACGATTTTTTCGTAGGCTTGCCATCTCATCTCTTTTCTATACTCAAAGGAGGGAATCTATCAAAGACACTGCTAAAATCTACTGAAATCTACTAGGTCGCATTTTAAAATCTACTAATTTTTAGAGTATTTTTTTGATAAATCGAAATGAAACACATTTGTTAATGAACCCTACATTTAATCAATCATTTATGATTAACATTTTTGTATTAATTGTCAATGTCATCAAATTTTTTAACAATTTTATATAATTGTTTTTCATTTTTCATTGTTTCCAACATTGAAGTACCAGGTTCAAATTTTGTACAATTTCCCGATTCCTTTAACCCCCTCCTTAGCGTGTAAAATTGCACGAACGTTTAGATTACCAAATCTGTTACGATCTTTTATTTTTATTCTATTTGTAGCAGAGAAAATGCGTTCACATTAGGCGTTCGATACGTGTAAACAAAGCATTTGCTTTGCAAATTTACTGATATTTCCAAATTGAGCTTTATTGTTAGCATGACATAATTTACTTACTGACGCCCAAAACTCTTCAAAATTAGTAACAACCTCTCTGCTGCTGGTACTGCATAATAAGTTAGCGACTTCAGTGTTAAGTTTAAGTTCCCTGAATTCATTGTCGATTAGTTGAATGTCATTTTCGGACACCATGTTTGGAAATTTTTAGGTAACATTAAACAAACTCGTAAATTCAGCATGTACAGCAGTTTGGGGATCTAAGAAGCACATCATTTCAAAAATATCGTCATCAAATGGTAGTCTTGTTTTTAACTGCACACACAAAGATCTTAAGAATTCTTGACACCTTTTAAAATATCTTGAAGCTGTTGCGGGGTATTTGATTGCGATGTAATTCTTAATGTTTGGCAAAATTAACACCCAAATACAAATGGTTTAAGGGTAAATAATTTACGGAACAATTGGGGTCAATATTCTTCATTGATGTGGTTTTTACATATTGGCTCTTCATATAACAGCTCAAAATGGAGACAAATATGGCTCGCATGTCATTCTACAAGCGATGCGTGACAGGGTAATCTCCTTGGCAAATCGTGTTGAATTTATTTGTGAATGGTAATATATAATCAAGGAAACATAAATATAGTTTTATAGTTTCGTCATTTAAGGCATTATAAAGAAATTCCGCAGATGCATTAAAGTTTCTATCTCCCAAATACTGTCCCTGAAAATATAATTTCAATAGAAACAGAAACAGAAACTTTTTTATTCAATGTAGATTATAACAATACTTATTGAAAGTCACTTTTTTCATTTACTACTGGTTCGCAAAAAAAAACCTCTGTCCTGGGAAGAACAGCAAGAAACCCAGCGGGACTATTTTTTTCCAATAATAGCTTACAATGATGTTTACAATAAACAACACAAGACAAATTAGAAATAGCTTGGTAGCGATCACCCTTCCCAGGGGTTATTATCATCCATAAATTTGTCTAAATTTGTCAAAAGTTGAAAATCTGTTTCAAGATCCTAGACACTTTTTTGCTATTTAAATGGTTTGCATACTGTTCTTTAAGTTCATCAGGCGGATTTTGTGTTAGTTTAAAACTATGGCACTGATCACAAGTATCCTTTTTGGGTAGATGAAAACTCAAATTAAAATGACTGTTAACTATGTCTCTGTACTGTCTAAGACTGGAAGCTGTATTTGAATAATAGTTAAGTTCAGGCCAATCTTTGTATAAATTGAACATCCTAGCGATGCTCAAGTCACCATCTAAATACAGTCGTTTGGACGCTGCTCTGTTATAATGAGATTTTACAGGTACAAATGAATTAACGCGGGCACAAACCGACTTTACCATTTCGTCGTCAACAACCCGATTATGATTTTTATGTTTCCCCCTCATGTCTATTTCTATTAAAGTGCTTCCGTCATATTTATTCCAAGCTGTCCGAACTAACCTTTCGCTAATCGAATACGTACTTAAAAACATGGTTTTACAAACCTCTATTTTTGATAAGCCCTTTGGCAAAAAATAATTGTAAGTAAATTGACGGTTATGCTTTAAATCTCTTTGAAGGCCCCTTTTCTTCTTCTGTTTTGTAGTATAATTCGCAACATGCAACCATTGTTTCTCACGATCACCTAACTTCCAAAAATTTTCAAATGCATCCTGTCTTTCTTCGAGAGTCAACATAGTGTAATATTTATATCTACACGCGCAAGGCCTACCTATAGTTTTTGCTTGAACAATAACGCCCTTTTTGGAGATGTATTCTTTTCCTGCATTTGCTAAGCGTTTTCTTTTAATTTCTTCCCAATCGTCATAATTTCGGACACGTTTTTTACCTCTACATCGAATAAGAGGCGCTGGAGACAACTGGTATGAAGACACAGCTGTGCTTGTTTGATTGACAGTTGCTATGTCTGCACCATCGTGAGTGGAACAAAAAAAAGTCATTACATACCTCACCATGAGTTTTTACTGGTGATGGCATAGGTGTTTGTCCATTGTTGTCAACAGTCGGGGTAATCGGTTGCGGGAAAGGTGACAGGTCTGATATCAGGGTAGAAGTATTTAAAGGGGTTAGATCTGACGTGATATTTAAGAGGGACACGACACCATGCTGATTTTCTGACGCGAGTAAATATGGTGAGGATGCATTTTCATACACGGCCATAAAAGGATCTTCTTCAAGAACACAAGTAGATGATGGTATGTTCGGGTCCATATTTTCATTTGTTGATTTTATGATTTCGCTTGTTCCGTGTACGTCATCTGAAAAGACATCTTCACAAATGTCGTTCATCTCTTCTATTACGTTGCGTGCTCCTGGAGGTAACGGCGAATGGCATTCTGAAAAGATATCAGTATATGTAAAAATAAATGGATTATTAATATCACAGGTTAACATTTACTAAAAACGATAAGACTATTCATAATAAAAAGATTAGAAAGTATAAAAAGTACTTCTTTTTATTTATACAGGTAAATTTTTACTCAAATCCGATTATTTTTTAAAGAAAAATATATTAAATATATACAAATATTCATAGTTTTTCAACAGAAAAATGGCGGAAGTGAATTTAGTTCAAAGAAAAAAGTTGGATGATCAGATACGACCGTTAGACAAAAAAGCGTGTCCACAAATTACCGGCGTTTGTAACCACGCGTCACTATCATGTCCATAGAAAAATGTAATATAGTTACATACAACTTGCAAATTTAAATTCTCAAATATAACAAAAACTCAACAAAATAATTGTAGTAATATCAGCGAGCAAATATAATTTTTATAAATATTACATTGTATATTGATTAATATTTTCCGTAGAAAACCGACGGATACTCAGAACCGACGCTTTACTTATTTACTTTGCAAAATATGTGTAAATACAAGAATTAAGTAATACTATAATATTAATACATAATTCATTAACTTACCTGGAGTCCCTGGTATGCAGTCTTCCTCATCCATGCGCTCATCATGAGTAAAACCCGTACTTTTCGAATTTTTGTTTGTTTCTTCCACAAGTTTTAACATAAGCTTTGATCGTCCTGTTTTTATTGTGGCACACCTTTTAATATAATATGTAAAAAAACTAGGCACGCAGTAGCTAACAAACAGACAAATAAAGTAAAACTAGTGCAATTGTTTAAGAAAAATCTAATCCGCTGCAACGCGTGAGCGAGATCGACGAAAAGTGAAGATTGCGCGGATTCGTCGGGAGTGGGAGAGGATGACGGGAGATCCCCGCGCGTCGAATAATGACAAGTATATACAAACGTCATTTTACTATGAGTACCTATCAAATCCGTCTATTTACCGACTGATTATTTTGAAATCCGAAATACATATAATTTTTTCTTTAATGTAGTAATAATATTTAGGCAATATAGTATCCAAATATGATAAAAAGTGAATTTCGTGTTTTCTTTAGAACCGTCATTATACTACGATCATGACGAAATGTGTTTTATTTCGAATCAAAACATTACTCTAAAAATTTGTAGATTTTAAAATGAGACCTAGTAGATTTCAGTAGATTTTAGCAGTGTCTTTGGTAGATTCCCTCATTTAAAAGTGGTCACTCTGCGGAGCTGTCAATGCAAATGTCTAATCGTATTATAAATTGTTTTGTTAGTAGCTTGCTACATATTTATTTATCTATGGTTAGCATTGCTACATATTTATTTATCTATGGCATTAATTTGCTCATTTTCAATCATGAAGACGGTATTTTAGTAAATTCTTTTAAAAACTAGAAAGGGTAATTATTATTGCCACAATTTACGTAATAATACAATCGATATTCATGATCTTATAGGTTCAAAAGCGCATAGAAAGGAATATTATACACCGAAAAAATAGTACACTGTCTGCTTTTGACATTATACGAAACTTGCCTAAATGTGAAGTGCTCGATTCAATGTCTGAGAGTCAGAAAGAGGTTGGAACACAAAAGAATGCAGTTGGGAGAAATGGAAAGAAGAAAAGGGGAAAAAAAAGAAAGAAGCTGCTGCACAATAAAAAACCTTTTGTTGCTGGTATTGTGCACCCTCCATTAAAATATGTTCCACCACCTCCACCTAGACCAATGCCTAGTACATCAGGAAGAGTTTCTCAGTCTATTAGAACAAATCGTCTAATTACACAGAAAAATTCCAAAGGCTCAAAATCAACCAAACTTTTACATTCATTTAAAATGCAAAATAAATAATTTGATGTCAACTGCGTAGGTAAATAACTACATAGTCGACATCAAATTATTTATTTTGCACTTTGTTTAGCACTGAATATTGCAGCCCAGAGAACGAGTTACCAAAACTCATGTACACTAGTAGTTAATAAAGCCTTCTTTTGCTAACATCTAGCACTACTGGGTCTGTTGGGTGGTATGTTGTATCAATTTTTTTCTCTTATTTTGTACCCTTGACAAAGTAGGAAGTTTTGTTATAATTTTTAGTTCCAGAGGTTTAAATGATGCATTACTTGGTGCAAATGAATGTAAAGGTTTGGTTGATTTTGAGCCTTTGGAATTTTTCTGTGTAATTTGACTATTAGTTCTAATAGACTGAGAAACTCTCCCTGATATACTAGGCATTGGTCTAGGTGGAGGTGGTGGAAGATATTTTAATGGGGGGGTGCATAATACCAGCAACAAAAGGTTTTTTTGGTGCAGCAGCTTCATTCTTTTCTTTTTCTCATTTTCTTCTTTCCATTTCTCCAACTGCATTCTTTCGTGTTTCACTTCTTTCTGACTCTCAGATATTGGGTCAGGCACTTTACATTTACGCAAGTTTCGTATACTGTCAAAAGCAGACAGTCTACTACTTTTTTGATGTATAATATTCCTTTCTAAGCACTTTTAAACTTTAAAACATGTAAGAGTTGATTTGTTTATTTATTGAAGAATCACGAGAAGAAGCATATGCACAAACCTAGACCTACACAAATTCTGAACGTAGCTGTCAATGCAAATGTTAATCGTACTATAGCTTGTTAGCATTAATTTGCTCATTTTTAATCATGAATACGGTATGTTAGTAAATTCTTTTAAAAACTAGAAAGGGTAATTATTATTGTCACAACTTACGTAATAATACAATCAATATTCATGATCTTACAGATTCAAAAGTGCTTAGAAAGGAATATTATACATCGAAAAAATAGTAGATTGTCTGCTTTTGACATTATACAAAACTTGTCTAAATGTGAAGTACCTGACCCAATGTCTGAGAGTCAGAAAGAGGTGGAACACAAAAGAATGCAGTTGGAGAAATGGAAAGAAGAAAAGGGAAAAAAAGAAAGAAGCTGCTGCACAATAAAAACCTTTTGTTGCTGGTATTGTGCACCCCCCATTAAAATATGTTCCATCACCTCCACCTAGACCAATGCCTAGTACATCAGGAAGAGTTTCTCAGTCTATTAGAACAATTCGTCTAAATACACAGAAAAATTCCAAAGGCTCAAAATCAACCAAACTTTTACATTCATTTAAAATGCATAATAAATAATTTGATGTCAACTACGTAGGTAAATACCTACATAGTCGACATCAAATTATTTATTTTGCACTTTGTTTAGCACTGAATATTGCAGCCCAGAGAACGAGTTACCAAAACTCATGTACACTAGTAGTTAATAAAGCCTTCTTTTGCTAACGTCTAGCACTACTGGGTCTGTTGGGTGGTATGTTGTATCAATTTTTTTCTCTTATTTTGTACTTTTGACAAAGTAGGAAGTTTTGTTATAATTTTTAGTTCCAGAGGTTTAAATGATGCATTACTTGGTGAAAATGAATGTAAAGGTTTGGTTGATTTTGAGCCTTTGGAATTTTTCTGTGTAATTTGACTATTAGTTCTAATAGACTGAGAAACTCTTTCACTGATATACTAGGCATTGGTCTAGGTGGAGGTGGTGAAACATATTTTAATGGGGGGTGTACAATACCAGCAACAAACGGTTTTTTTGGTGCAGCAGCTTCATTCTTTTCTTTTTTCTTTTTCTTCTTTCCATTTCTCCAACGACATTCTTCTGTGTTCCACCTCTTTCTGACTTTCAGACATTGGGTCAGGCACTTCACATATAGGCTATTTTCGTATACTGTCAAAAGCGGAGAGTCTACCGCTTTTTCGACGTATAATATTCCTTTCTAAGCACTTTTGAACATGTAAGATCATGAATATCGATTGTAATATTATGGAAATTGTGACAATAATAATTACACTTTCTAGTTTTTAAAAGAATTTAATAACATACCATATCAATGATCGAAAATGAGCAAATTAATGGTAACAAGCTATAATACAATTAACATTTGCATTGACAGCTACGTTCAGAATTTGTGTAGGTCTAGGTTTGTGCATATGCTTCTTCTCGTGATTCTTCAATAAATAAACAAATCAACTATTACATGTTTAAAAGTTTAAAAGTGCTTAGAAAGGAATATTATACGTCGAAAAAGTAGTAGACTTTCTGCTTTTGACAGTATACGAAACTTGCCTATATGTGAAGTGCCTGACCCAATGTCTGAGAGTCAGAAAGAGGTGGAACACAGAAGAATGTCGTTGGAGAAATGGAAAGAAGAAAAAGAGAAAAAGAAAAGAATGAAGCTGCTGCACCAAAAAAACTTTTATTGCTGGTATTGTGCACCAACCATTAAAATATGTTCCACCACCTCCACCTAGACCAATGCCTTGTATATCAGGGAGAGTTTCTCAGTCTATTGGAACTAATAATCAAATTACACAGAAAAATTCCAAAGGCTCTAAATCAACCAAACCTTTACATTCATTTGCACCAAGTAATGCATCATTTAAACCTCCGGAGCTAATAACTATAACAAAACTTCCTACTTTGGCAAGGATATAAAATAAGAGAAAAAAGATTGATACAACATTTGTCCCAGTACCTAGTGCCAGATGTTAGTCAAAAGAAGGCTTTATTAACTACTAGTGTGCGTGAGTTTTGGTAACTCGTTCTCTGGGCTGCAATGTTCAGTGCTAAACAAAGTGCAAAATAAATAATTTGATGTCAACTATGTAGGTTATTTTGCATTTTAAATGAATGTAAAGGTTTGGTTGATTTTGAGCCTTTGGAATTTTTCTGTGTAATTTGACTATTTGTTCTAATAGACTGAGAAACTCTTTCTGATGTACTAGGCATTGGTCTAGGTAGAGGTGGTGGAACATATTTTAATGGGGGTGCACAATACCAGCAACAAAAGGTTTTTTATTGTGCAGCAGCTTCTTTCTTTTTTTCCTCCTTTTCTTCTTTCCATTTCTCCAACTGCATTCTTTTGTGTTCCACCTCTTTCTGACTCTCAGACATTGGGTCGGGCACTTCACATTTAGGCAAGTTTCGTATATTGTCAAAAGCAGACAGTCTACTACTTTTTCGATGTATAATATTCCTTTCTATGCGCTTTTGAACCTGTAAGATCATGAATATCGATTGCATTATTACGTAAATTGTGGCAATAATAATTACCCTTTCTAGTTTTTAAAAGAATTTACTAACATACCGTCTTCATGATCGAAAATGAGCAAATTAATGCTAACAATTTATATTTATAATACGATTAACATTTGCATTGACACTTGATAGCTACGCAGCGTGACCACTTTTAAATGAGGGAATCTACCAAAGGCACTGCTAAAATCTACTGAAATCTACTAGGTCGCATTTTAAAATCTACAAATTATTTTTAGAGTAACGTTTTGATTCGAAATAAAACACATTTGTTAATGAACCCTACATGTAATCAATTATTTACAATTAACATTTTTGTATTAATATTGTCAATGTCATCGAATTTTTTAACATTTTTATATAACTGTTTCTCATTTTTCATTGTTTCCAACATTGAAGTACCAGGTTCACCAAACATAACATTTGTTGCACTCACAAGAACTGCACACAAAGATCTTAAGAATTCTTGACACCTTTTAAAAATATCTTGAAGCTATTGCGGGGGCATTTGATTGCGATGTAATTCTAAATGTTTGGCAAAATTAACACCCAAATACAAATTGTTTAAG